AGGGGTCAGCGGAGCTCCTGTGTTGCGGGAGCACAGAGGGGAGAGAGACGAAGTAAACAAACAAGCAGGAAAATGAAACTTATCGCCGTCTTTTTTTTACCGACCTCAAAAAAAGTTATCGTGCGATTAATTGATTTATTGACTATCGCGACAGGCCTACTGACAACTCATCCCTGTGACAGGACAGGTTTTCCTCTGCACACGTGGATGAGTTCCAACACTGGGGTCCTAATTGTGAGCCACCCAGCCATATCTCCTCTTCCTGTGAAGGAAGAACTCCAACCGCAGAGAAGGCTGCTGAGGGAGGGCTGAGACCCCCAAATCAGAAGAAACAACTCACTTGTCCACCTGACGGGCAGACATCTACTCCGATGATTACCAGCTCTCCTGGGGCGGGGTGGGGGACCACGCATGTTATACACACACAGTCTGGTCATTGCTTTTAAATTCTAATAAAGATAAAAGTGGTCTTTGAAGAGCAGCGGGGACCCCAGGTGCCAGCCCCCCCTCTCCAAGCCAACCGCAGCACCATTCAATTTCGCTCACCCTTCCCTCCTGGCTAATCTCCACCCAGTTCAGATTTCCAATACCCCGACCCCTTCTCTCTTATCAGATTCAGCCTCACTAATTGTGCTCCTCTCCCTTCTTTCTGCTCCCTCTTCTCACCCCCTCTTCCTCTCTCCCCCCCACCACCTCGCTCCTCGTCACTCGGCACCCTTCATGTTCTGGAACGGCAGGACTCTGTTTGGAAACAAGATCAAATCGGTGGCCAAGAAAGCCTTCGCTGGCCTGGAGACCCTGGAACACCTGTGAGTATCCCACAAGAGTGAAACGGGCGGGGGTGGAGGTTGGCGGGAGGGGAGGGGGGATGGGTGAGACTGCCAAAAGTAGCTGGCAGAGTGGAGGTTGCTAGCAATTTAATAGCATCGTTGTAAAAGGAGAAGACAGGACTTTCCTACAAGAGGCCAGCTGCCTCTCGCTGGTTAGCTTAGCACAATCTCAACACAGACCCCCCCCCCCCAACACAGGAACTAAGTTATTGAACATATGGTGAGCTCAGGAGGAGAAATGGAATTCCTATAAGCTCCTTTACAGGCCCCTCTTTTTTGTACGAGGACAGAGACAGAAAGCTGTGTGCAGAGCTGATTATTTTCATTATGGCTGACCGGCAGATTCTTGCTTGATTTAGCATGAGGCTGTAATTTATGCCGTTAAAGAGCTGATTTGTATTTCTTGTCGTGCCCAAAGGAACTTGGGGGAGAATGCTATCCGTTCCATCCAGCCTGATGCTTTCAGTAGAATGAAAAACCTCAGAAGCCTGTGAGTACCATTTATACAAAAGCACTGAATTTACCTAAAGCAGCACAAACAACCGAACGTCGTCTTCAGTTAGAGTTTACTTTGCTTTTCTCCTCTAGTCTGATCCAGAGCAGCAGTTTCCTCTGCGACTGCCAGCTGAAGTGGCTGCCTGGCTGGTTGCTGTCACACGGTCTGCAGGCCGGTGTAAACGCCACCTGTGCCCACCCAGAGAGCTCGCAGGGAAGCAACGTCTTTCAAGTTCCAAGCGACAGCTTCGTGTGTGGTCAGTCATGTTTTTACCTCTCCATCTGATGTTTGACTTTATGTCACTCAAGTGATTTAATGTGCAAAATCCACGTTTTTTAGTTACTTGGAGTCTCTAGGTGCGCAGAATGTTTGATTGTTTTTTTTTTTTCTGTCGTGATTCTGTACCCCCCATCCCATCAGATGACCTCCCCAAGCCCCAGATAACCGTTCAGCCAAACAACACTGCGACGGTCCTCGGCAGCGACGCGCGTCTCACCTGCACGGCTGCGAGCAGCAGCTCCTCCCCCATGACCTTCGTCTGGCGCAAAGACCAGGAGCTGCTTCATCACGCCGAGCTGGAGAACTACGCTCACATGCGCGGCCACCGTCACCACGGCGTGACGCCTCGCGCAGCGGAGGCGGCAGGAGGGGTGATGGAGTACACCACCATCCTGCACCTGCGGGACGTCACCTTTGCTCACGAGGGACGTTACCAGTGCATCATCACCAATCACTTTGGCTCTACGTACTCCAGCAAGGCCCACGTCACCGTCAATCGTATGTTCATCTTTAGTTTTTTATTCAATACTTTTCTTGAAAAGAAAAAAAAGGAAAAACAATTGAAATGATTCAGTGTTCTGGTTGAAAGATTTTTGTTTTGAGCTTTATAAGACGTCATGACTGATGGCTGAAACTCTGTGTACTCGCTCTGATTCTTCAACTGTATGCTGAGTTGCCATTTTCCAAAATCAATGTTATATAAAATTGCTTCTTCTTTTACAACTAAATACAACGCTCCTATGAAAGGTTGTTGTGAAGATGTGCTGAAGTGGGAGTGTCAGAAATGGCAGGAGGTTTTTAAAGAGACAGAGACCAATTTCAAGGCATTTAGATCGATTATGATGCAAAGTCCTACAGCTTTTTCATAACTGTAACATAGTTACTTACCGTGGTGTAGAATTAAACTATGTGCCTGGAAAATACATAATAGCTCTGCCTCCATCTGCAGTAAGATGATAAACTGCTTTATTTTTATAGCTTCTTATTAACTCTCACTCCTAATAAAGTTATCAAAAGTCAGAGCTATTGTCAAATTACCCATTTAAAAAACAAGCTTCCTGCAGGATTCGATGTGAGGGCCTCTGGCCGGAAGTTCACAGGAGAAAATGCCAGCAGCAGCTGGAAAAATGTGTTTGAGAGCAGAACTCTGTAATTCTTAACATCTGTTGTCAAGTTCTTAAACCAAAAGAAATCTGCTCCAAGAACATAAAGTCTTCATGTCCCTCCACAGAGCTGCCGTACTTCACCAAGACCCCCAGGGACAGCACCATCCGAACAGGCCACACCGCCAGGCTGGAGTGCGCCGCCAAGGGCCACCCCACGCCCGAGATCGCCTGGCAGAAGGATGGCGGCACGGACTTCCCGGCCGCCCGCGAGCGCCGCATGCACGTGATGCCCGACGACGACGTGTTCTTCATCACGGACGTCAAGCCCGAGGACCAGGGCGTGTACAGCTGCACCGCCAAGAACACGGCGGGCGCCGTCTCCGCCAACGCCACCCTCACCGTGCTGGGTGAGAGCACCGACTTCCTGTTCCCTGCCCCACGCTTCCTCTGGCCCAGGCGCGGCGCGGCTCATTCCCACAGCTGAATTGTAAATAGCCGGGTGCTCAGTGGGGAATAGGTCCGCCTGGGGCTGCAGCCATGCTGCGGGTCAGGGGTCACAGTTAGGGAGCGGAGCGGGGGTGGAGGGGGGGAGAAAGGGAGACTCACAGAGGGGTGTTTGTTAGGCATTCCCACCCGCTTCTCCTCTCCTGGTGGGAGGGACAGTGATGGCTGCCTCGCTGCAGGCCTCAGTGCTCCCAGTTTACACTGAAACCAAACAGTTTCTCTGCTGCTCACACATCAGCTCTGTTCTGTTTTAATGGAGCAAAGCTGCTTGTTGTTGGACAAACAAAGCAACAGAAGGGCTGCTCCTTAAAGAGACTCAGGAGCAACAGTTTCTGTACTGAACGTGGTCATGTTTAAAGGCTGCCACTCGTCAGACCCCTCAGTCCGACCGCTCATCTGCTCCGAAAAACATTTGAAGCAAAGCGTGGCTGCGTGCTGGAGCTGTGATGTTTTTATTTTTTTAGAAACAGCGAAGTGGTGGGAGTTAGCTTGGGTGGTTGGGTGGGGTGGGGTGGTGGCGGGGGGCTACAGTCTAGGGGCCCCCGTCTGGAAAAGAAGAGTTGGAGGGGGAGAAAACCGTTTGAGAGAAGAAAGAGTAGAAGAGCGAGGGGAGGGAGGGGATTGATGAGATGAGGGAAAGTATTGATAGTGGAGGAATGGGCGGCTGAAGTGGGTTAAGTGAGATCTCTTAATCTGTGTGTGTCCCACTGCGAGGGAAAGTGTTCAGTTTGAGAGGCCAACGCACAACACACACACACACACACACACACACACACACACACACACACACACACACACACACACACAGCTCAGTGTGCTTCACTCAATGGAATGTGAAGTTTCTCAGGAAAACACTAAAAACATTGTTTCGAGGAAGATTTTGTCCCCAAAGAAATCTTGTTAGAGTGTTGTGATAAAAATTTATCCCATGTCAGAGTTTATCAGCATTCCTGATAAAATCTCAAATATTTGAGGATTATCGTTTTTAAAGGGATCCATGATTAGTTGTAACATTAAACTTTATTTAATAAACATATATTTTAACTGCAAAATAAAGACTGTAAAAATACTGTTGGCTGTTTAGTTTTATAACTTTTAAACTAAAAATTTAAAAATATATTTTAACGCGGATGGGGCCTTTTTATTTACACACAAAGCATTCTGGGTAAATGATGACGTGGACAGGTCCTCGATGCGAAGCTGCTAGCGAGCTATATCCACCCTGAAGGTTAATCTTGGACAATATCTGATGATCGACTCTTTTAAATGAAACCAGAGAGCGTTGACAGAGAGGAGAAGGTAGAAATGACTCAGCCTGCAACTGAAAATATGGATGGGGGACCTCAGCTTAGCTTGTTTGTCGTGCTAGCACCGAGCTAATACATATAAGGCAATATAGCATCGGGGCTAGTGCACAGGTTAACAGGTTAAGCTGAGGTTCTTCTTCCATGAAGCAGCTCTGTTGTCCTCCATCCATATTTTCAGTTCCAGGCTGAGTCATTTCTACCTTCTCCTCTCTGTCAACGCTCTCTGGTTTCATTTAAGGGTTGATCATCAGATATTGTCCAAGATTAACCTTCAGGGTGGATATAGCTCGCTAGCAGCTTCGCAGTGAGGACCTATCCACGTCATCATTTACCCAGAATGCTTTGTGTGTAAATAAAATGGCTCCGTCAGTGTTAAAATATATTTTAAAAAAATTAGTTTAATAATTTACCAATCTAAACAGCCTACAGTATTTTTACAGTCTTTATTTTACAGTTAAAATAAATGTTTATCAAATAAAGTCTAATGTTACAACTAATCATGGATCCCTTTGAGTTTTGACTTAATTTTTGTTGTCTTAGATTAATAATATTTACGTTCAAATTTTGCTGCCTTTAAATGTTTTCTAAGGAACGTTTTACTGGTATGTTCTGTAGAAACCCCCCACCCAGCCAAGGAGCTGGAGGACCGCAGCGTGGTGGTAGGAGACACCGTGGCCCTACAGTGCAAAGCCCTGGGCAGCCCACCTCCCCGCATCACCTGGCTGCGCAACGACCAGCCGCTGCCCCCCTCCGAGCGGCACCACTTCACCGCGGGGAACCAGCTGCTGATCATCAACGCCGCCTCGCTGGAGGACGCCGGCCGCTACACCTGCCTCATGTCCAACACCCTGGGCACGGCGCGCGCTCACAGCCAGCTGGTGGTGAACCAGAGCCGGAGCGCCTGCGCCACGCCCACGGGCCTGAGCACCATCACCATAGGCATCATCGTCATCGCTGTGGTGACAAGCATCGTGGCCACGTCGCTGGTGTGGGTGTGCATCATTTACCAGACCAGGAAGAAGAGTGAGGAGTGCAGCGTGACCAACACAGGTGGGTTTAAAGCCACTCTGATCTTACTTTGTAGTACGGCTGGGCGATATTGGCAAAATAAGTTTTATCACCATTAATATGGCGATTAAACCCTTGCATCCTGGTCATGTGACGGATTTAGATCACTCTGGAGCAGGGGTTTACAACCTGCGGCTCTGAGGCCACCTGTGGCTCTTTGAAAATGTGACCTAACATAAGAGAAAAAAAATTTGTTTGGTTTTTATACCCACAACAGAAATCAATTTGTATGCAAATATGTGATCAATACAAGAAGTAAAACCTGTTAGCTCATGCTAGCCTGTTGTTCACTTAAATATTCCAGTTTCTTCCTATGATCTTTCTCTCAAATCCATCAGAATTACCTTTAAATGATTTAAAGACTACATAATAAAAAGAATTAGAAATATAAATATGCCTGAATAATTCAGTTGTACTAGTTTTTATGAAATTCGGTATAAAGAATATACTGTATTTTTCTTGTTTACATGAATTTGGTCTTTTTTATTTGTCCTGATGTGTATAATATTAAATAATATAATTATAATAACAATATTTTTTTAGTTTTATAATGTCACCTCCACTGACCGTAAAGGTTCCCGAAAACGCCCACGGACCACCAGTTGATAATCACAGTTGTAGCATGCTTTGCGGCTCCAGACATATTTTATTAGTGAGACAAGGAGCACAAATGGCTCTTTTTATCATAAAGGTTGCAGAGCTCTGCTCTAGTGAGAAAGATGCAGTCACTGTGAGAATCTGTTCACTTTAAATAGACTTCAAGCTAAACACCAGTTTGTTGTGATAGAACAAGTCAAACCAGTGCGCCAAGAAATCTAAAGAAGAAAAAAAGACGCGAAAGCTGATTGAAGTTCAGACTTACAGGATGTAATGTTGTGTTTAGTTTTGGTGTCTTTGACTCAAAACGATGAGGTGATATTTGAACAGCTGATTCAGGTGGAGTTAATCGGTTAATCGACAGTTAATTGCTGACTATGCGATTTTGCCCAACACTGCTTTGACTGTGTATTACAAAAAAATACTGAAAATGATTAATAAATAGTTTTCTGTCCCAGATGAGACGATCGTCCCACCAGATGTCCCCAGCTACCTGTCCTCTCAGGGCACCCTGTCTGAGCGGCAGGATGTGTGTATCCGTGCGGAGGCCGGGGCTGGACCTCAGCCCAACGGACACATCGTGGACTCCACAGGTACCCGTCTCTCTGCTTCGTTGTCCAAATATTTGTCCTTCCAGCAGCTGCTGCTGTTCATGGAAACCTGCTCCGACTTCAATAACTACAACCCTTACCTGATTCACTGCCTCTAAATGATTTCTTCTTCTCTGCCCACTGCAGGCTTCGATGGTGCGGTGATGTGCACAGACTGCTTGGAGAGCAGCTACTCCATAGACCCAGACTACCTGGCCCACGGGCTCAGCTCGGCTCGAGGGGCCGAGTACCATCAGCAGCTCGCACCCCCGCCTTACTCCCACCGTCACCCCGAGGAGCAGCGTGACTCCGGGTCGCACGGAGCGCCGCTCTGCAACGGGTCCCCCCGCGGGGTCCGACGAGACGTTCAAGGGTTCCCCAAAACCCACCACACGCCTCAGCCGGACCAAGACGACAGAACAGGTAGAGCGAAAGAAAGGCAGTGGAGCTTACAGGCCTAAACCATAAATCCTGAACACTTTATTGTTTAAGTTCTGTGCTCCCACTAGAATATATCTGCAGGATCAGTTCATTTTTCTTCTTTTTTTAAAAAAAGTCCTTGTCGAGGCAAATTCCTTCCAGCGTGTTTGCTGATCGATCGCCTCCTGCTTGCATTTGACAGTGTATCATTGTTTCATGCAGAGCTGAGAAAACAAAAAGCCCTGACTGAAACCCAGCACAGAGTTCTCAGTGCTGAAGCAGGTCCAGGCCTGCTCCTGGACCTGCTTCAGCGAGAGGAGCTAGCTCTTCTACACACACACGCACACACACACACACACCGCTGCCTCACTGTCCTGACACCCAGTTGCACATTTTGTCGACGTACACGTCAGGTTCCACTCACTTCTCCCGCCCTGCTCTTTGTTCTGCAGCGAGCCGAACGGGACACACGCAGGACGACTCCTTCCACAAACCGGTGAAGCTGGGCGGCGGCGGCGGCGGCGGCCCCCCCGACCCGGACTGTGAGCCCGAGCTCAGGCAGACTCTGCTGTCCAACGGGTACGTCCTCAGAGCCTCTCAGAGTGAGAGCGCCCCTCTGAGGAGAGCCAGCGACTAGCATCCAGCTCGACAGCATGAACCTTTTCTTTCTTTGCACTGGGAAATAAACTGCTACCTCTTATCGAGGGGGAAATGCCTCCCCCCCCAGAACCTCCTGCAACTGAACTGACGCTAGGAGTTGGGGGGTGGGGTGCGTACGTGTCCGGAGTTTGAAGGCGGAGCTTGTGTGGGTGGCGTCCCACCTGAGCGTATCAGCTGTACATAGTTTAAAACCCTTCTTTTGGGAGGTGACCAGTAAAAAATCTAGCTCCAAAGGTATGTGATTTGCATTTGAAGAGTGAAAAAAAACACAAAGAGAGAAATATACATCGGGACTTTTCACTGTACATAAGAGTTTTCTTATATTATATATAACTTTTACAGGAGTGTTTGAATATATGTGCATGACAAAGAAAAGGAAGTGATATTTTTATTTTGTGACAAAAAAACAGCCTTTTGTTCAGTTTTTACCAACATCCAGCTGCAGTGCCTTAATGCATGATCAAAGCAAACTGTTAGAGCATTTTTTTATGTGAGAGATACTGGTACATCTTTTATAGGAAACACTTGATTGCACTTGAAATTTACCTTTTTTTTTGACAAACCCTGCCAGCTATGGCCTTACAGGAACACAGTCCACGCGCGTGGTGGTATGAAGGAAGAGCTTTGATGTGAAAGACTTTGGCACGAGGGTTGTGGGCGGTCAGTTCAAGCACTTTTTTTCTTTCTCCCTGATCACTCCATAAAGAGATYGTGTGCATCATCTGCCCACAGGAATGCAGCAAGCGTCTCCATCTGAGGAGAACACTCAGATTTTTGACACGTGCTGCAGCGTTGAGGCTCTTCCACTGTTTTTCATCACTGAGACGCTGCTCTGACCCACCTGGGGTTTTTACTCTATTTTCTACGTTAAGTTTCAAACCAATGCAGTTCTGTGTAACATTGTGATTGGAGCCACGTTAAAATTGGGTTAATTTTACTGTTTTTTTTTTTTGTTTTTTTACACGAGATTGAAAGTGTCATCACTTAGTTACTGCTGTAATGTTACAACCAGAAGCAAATGGCCAGTAGTTCACCAGAGTTACGCTGCAGTTCACTTGTGTTTCAGGTTAACGTTGTTGAACAGTTGCAAAGCTTGTGAAATGTACCCCCACCCCCTCTCCATGTGRCCACTGGGTCACGTTCAGTGAGGCGTTGCTTTGTGTTTCTCCTACCTGGGCGTGCTCAGGTAAGATGGGGACATGCTGCTCTGGTTACACACCTGCGACCCCCCGCCCCCCTCCAGCGCAGGGCAGCGCCAAACGGACAGGATCACAACGTGACGCGCAGTCCGGACACTAATTTATTTGAAGCAAACAGTCTGAAACCGTTGTACCAATGTCAAAAACTAAAACATAGAAGTTYCTAACAAAGTGTCTAATTAATAAAAAAATGCCATTTTGCTATAATTGTCCTCTCTTGTTTTTTTTTTCTTTTCACCACACCTGTGCAAACGCACAGAACGGATGTTTTTGTTGCAGTAACACCACCAGCAGCTGAGTTAGCATTTAGCAGTTATGGAGAAGCCATCAGTTTAAATGGAGCATGCTCCACAACATGAAACCCACAGACTTTGGGTTTTCAAAGCAGACACACACACACACACACAGACAGACACAGAACTAATCTTCCAAACAGGAATATCTCTGGACTGCTTGAAGCTCCAAAGACAGCAGACATATGTTGATTCTTCTGCAGGCTGGTTACAGTTTTGCCGTTGACTGGAGGTCAGAATGGGTGTTCCAGATGGACGTTTGTCACAGGATTGATTGACACGCTCTGGGCCGTTCCCCCATCTCACTTCAGCTAGCGTTGCTCAGGAGCACGGTGACATGCGGTCCCACCTGTGAGCCCATTTGTCTCAGAACCTCCCCTGGCAGGACTTAGCAGGTCTCATAGATTCCTGCAGGACGCCAGAGCTAACTAACTGTCCCACTGCTCCTCTGTATGTCACCGACATGATCCTTCACTGACATGGAGAGGAGGCTATTGTTATAAACAAACTGCATCAGAGCACGAGTGGAGACTGAAAACAGTGTTATGGTAAAAAAAAAATGCACCAGTCAGCTTTTTACTGCAGCCACTAGGGTTGGACAAAATTGCTCTTTGTAAAAAAAAAAAAAGGTTGTTCCAAATTGTGTGAAAATTGCAGATTTCAGGCAATACATCATATTTTAAATTGTGTAGATAGGTAAATGAATTACAGAACTTTATTTTTAATGTTCTTCATATTTGAAGCAGAGAGGAGCACCGAGTGGACTGACCCGAGTAATCCCCAGTCAGTCTGCCTGGTGACATTAATCGTATTAATCATCAAGTGCCAAAAAGTAATCGATTATTGTTTTTCTGACGATTACTAGTTCACGATATGATTAGATAGATAGATAGAACTTTATTGATCCCACACTGGGGAAATTTGAACATTAAAGCAGCTCAAGACAATGGAGTTGCAGTAACAGGCTGCCTGCTGTGGCGCCAACTTAGAAACAAAGAAAAACTGAACACAAGGGAGGGGAAGATGAGGGGGGAAAATGGCAAAACATCATATGTCAACACTGTGACACACTATGGTGTTTATGAAAAAAACCTCTACATAGAGCAAGTTATTAGCCAGAGGAGTAAGTGATTATGCCCAACCCTAGCAGCCACACGATCAAATCTGAAGAAATCCCTCTATTCAGACTCATTTTCAAACCTTCATTACTGCCTGGTCAAAGATCGATCCCTGCACTACAGACTGCTGCTGGCAGACTAAAATAAACGTACAGTCATACCTGAACCTCTGCAAACAATAAAACCATCTGCTTGGTTAAACAAACAAAAAGCAATGCATAAAAAAGGAAGAAATGCATAAAATCCTTCGCCTTTCTTACAAGTGTTTACAACACAGATGTCATGGCATCASTTAGCACTCAGAATATGTGTTGCAAGACAATCACTGAAAAAAATTACTAAATTATGAAAAAGTGTCGTCACTGTTGGCCAAAAACCCATATCTTCATTCATTCAACTCAGTTTGACTTCATATCTGCAGTTTTATGGACGGCAACCAGTAAAAAGTGGAGAATTATTATTATTATTTTTTAAGTTTACAGAAAGTTGCATTAATGCAATAAACAAAACATAGAAAAAAAACTACAGTTTTAAGTGCAGAACGGAATAAACTTTTAAATTTCCTGGAAAAAAAAGGAGCCCTTAAATTGTTCTGTAGAAGCTTGTGTGGAACAGCTGAGGCTGCAGATAAACTTACAGATGTGTTAATTCAACAAAATCCTCTATTATTAGAGAGAGAAAAGCTGAAAGCGGATGAGGTCAGTTTGGCTCAGTGGGAATATAATGATGGTGACATATTTCTCTATCTCCTCGGTGGATCATCAAAGCAGGTGTCTTGGCTTAATGAAACAAAAAGATATGGATAAAACACTAAAAAGAATATTAAATAACGTAAAACTGGAGCCCAGAGGCTTACACGTGGAGCTAAAGATGCCAAATGTGTTTTAAATTACAGAGGAGGCAGTTTTTAATTGTAAAATACATTTACTTATGAAATATAGTACATTGGTTCTAACAAGTGCTGCTACAGAAGTCATTACTCTCCATCCACAGAGTGCTGATAAATAGGAATGCAGCATTCTGGGTAATGTAGTCCACTCCATTCCTCAGAAAGCCTCTCAGGGCCCGGCGGCATGAGGACGCAGATCCTCCCCTTCCTGCGGGGAACACTGGTGACACTTCCTGAGATCCCTTCACTGCAGCCATCAGATCAGAGCGCTGAAGCACCAGAGAGGACTTCCTGTTAGAGCAAAGTGTGTCGGACCTTCTCATAGGCTCCCAGGAAGATGARTCCGCCTACGCTGATGAAGGCCATCCGTGGAATGCTGCCTGCAAACAGACTGAAGACAAAGCAGGGAGTTTAAGACTTTCATTCAAACACAGATTTATAGTGTTTATCCTCCAAATGCAAACTGTGAGTCTGGACAACTAAAGACAATAAAGGAGCAAAATGATTTCACACAAACTGCTAAGCATGGTGGTGGAGGGCTAATGATATGGGTCAGCTGCACGTCCTGAACTGCACTCAACAGAACGTTTTGGCCAGAAGAGCTTGTTTACGACGATTTATTTCTGACAAAAATAATATATAAAACATATTTATGAAAATGACAAAAGCCTAACAACCAAACTGCTTTAAACTTTCGATTTTCATACCGCCAGATTTTTATTTGAAACTGTACTCCTGTCTCACTCTGTCCACCATAAAAAATCTCCCAGTCGGCCCACAATGCATATCGGGATAGGGTGGGGCTTCGAGCCTCGAGTATTGATTGGAACCAAGACTAACACATCTATTCTCCTGGAATCATTTGAATATTAAAATTTCTATTCCTACTTTTGTTACCCAGTCTGTCCAAAGGAAGTGGCCGCTGAACAAAACCTAGAAAAGAGCAGCCTGAACACCGCCGAAGGAAAAAAAAAACATTTCATATAACTAAAATTCTCAGATAACTCAGACTTTTTCATCCAGAAACAACTCTGGTTACTTGCCTTATTTGAACCATGTAAACTTTTATGACCCTGCCTCTAAAAAGACTCGAAATTGGGAATCAAAACAAGGAACCGGAATCGTTTCAATTCAAACAATGCCCAATCACAAGAAGGAAACATCGAACCCGTCCCTCAAATCGGGGAGAATTAAGACGCATTTGTTGGCCGTACTGGGAGGAGCTTTTGAATTTGAACAGCCAAATTTAAATTCTTCCTTCGAAGGATGCAGCCCCTGAATTTGGACACATTTTCCTTTCTTTGTTGTTGCTGTTTCTAAGGACTGTTTAAACACATCTAACACTGTGGACTGATTCTGAGAACGCAGACTTGAAATAATACTAGAAACACAACAATAAGGGACACCCCTGCTGTATCTCATCATCCTCATTATACAGACGGACAGAACCGGACGCAGATCTGCAGGTTTCTTAGTAGAAGCAAAGACTTCAGGACCAGATGGAAGAAGGTCAAACCTGAGGCTTTGTTGTGGAGCCCCTACGCTGGGGCCTGACAAGATGCTGTTGATGTTGTGGAGGTCAGAGGATGTTACGGGCCATGAAAGAGCACCCATCTCCCAAGGAC